GGCAGCTCTAATAGCAACCATGCACAGTAGGATTTCTGCTGACTCAGACCAGCGGTCCATCCTCTGTTTCACACAGTGGCCAACTAGTTGCCCTGGAGGACCAATGAACAGGGCACAGAGGCCAAGGACTTCAGGAAATGGTTTTACTCACTGTCTAAATTTGAGCCCCACTGTTTACCAAGCTCCCATTTGTTAATTCTTCATCCTGCACTTTCTTAAATTGGCTCTCCTAGCAGTTCAGTGATCTGTTTCATAATCCCAGCCTATAACAGCAAAATGTGGGGGTGAGGGGAGTGGGAAAATGATCTGTCTATTCAGTCTGCCCAAATTAGGGTTGCCACCTCTGTGCTGGGAAATACCTGGAGATTTTGGAGGTGGAACCTGAGGAGGGCAGGGTTTGGGGAGGGACCTCAGCAGGGTGCAATGCCCTAGAGTCCACTTTCTAAAGCAGCCATTTTCTCCATGGTAACTGAACTTGCTCATCTGGAGATCAATTGTAATAGTGGGAGATTTCCAGGTGCTACCTGGAGGTTGGCAACCCTAGTCCAAATCAGAACAGTAACTACCATACAGCATATAAAATACAATGGGTTCTGTATTATCCAAAAGTCAAATAGCAAAATGGAAATTTATGACAAGCAGTTAAGCTACAAATACCATTAAGTGGCCTAACCTCAAAAGAACTTGCCCTGGACCTAGGATTGCTTCAAGTTAAAAACCAGTACCGTGTGGTTCCTCCACAATTTGATGATCTATTTACTTCAAGCTAATGCTTCCTATAGAGGTTCTGAACTCTCTGTTCATTTCCAGTCTTCCCAATCTGCATTGAAGGAGAATTTAGCAGTTACAATTATCCATTAGCAGCACCTGAATACTTCTCAGATCAGTGAAAGAACATCTAAACAGCTTTTGCCAGTCACCCCAATATTTACTTCACTCCATGAAAAAACTAATCCCCAGCCTACCATTTGTGGACAACTGCCTAAATTTTTTTGTCGATTTGAAGGCAGCCTGTGTATGGACCAGATCTGACATGTTTCTGCCTGATACAAACCAGATTGTCAGGCATGAGCAATCCTTTGTCAGCTCCAAAGAGGACAACCATAGGACCCAATCCTATGGTTATTGATTCAGTACGGCCTTAGAAATGCAATCTGAGTAGAATATGACCTTGTCCACACTCTCAGAATACCATCTGCCTATATTTTTCTCTATCTAATGGTCAGAAATTGTTTCCAGTTTTCTTCCTTAATTACAGCAAACATTTTTAATGGTTCCCTACAATATATTCCTGTGGACGCCACTACAATCTAATCCTAGACTACTCATAAACTAGGATTAGCAATAAGCATACTATGTCATACTTCCATGAAAATCTTACATCTATCCACAGTTTCTTCCCCCATCTTGACTCTGCATAAGTTTCTGTGCCATATTCCAATGTCTAATGCTTTTTACTAGTCACTTAGCACTTTCAGTACTCAAAGTAGTTTTCATATTGTAATTCTTATGGCAGTCCTGTAAGGTAGGACAATATTATTTTTACCCAAGTCCTCTCATTGCATTTGTGTTAGAGGTGAGACCAGGACTGGAGACCTCCAAAATCAGAGTTCCAGGCTACTATATATTTAAACAAAAACTGCATAAGAATATCTTAGGCTGCTCTGGGATGGCCCTCTCCCTTTTGCATGGCTTTTCTGCCAGTCTGACCCAGCAGTTTGAACTGGGGCGTTTTTGATCTTGACAGTCACGAGGTTTGTGTCTGGAGCTGTCCAGCTGCAGGTTCATCTGGGTCACTTCCTCCAGGACGGCAAGGCCCGCTTCTAGCTCCTGCATCTAGCCACTTGACTGACTTAATTTACTAATATGACAGCTGCTGCCACAGAGTAAAAGTCCCTTGGTTGAGCGACCAAAATAGAACCTTGTAAAAATTGCTAAATAATGTAAAGTGTTAGGCCCTATTTTTAGATGGAGAGAAAGGAAGAGCTATTGAGGCATGCGAGTTCTGTGTTGTATTGTACAGTCTCTGGGCTTCAAGCCATTCACATCCTCTTGCATGGCTACCTGCAGTACCAGACTTAATTTACTAATCAGAAGTAAATCCCATGCACCCCCATCACATAATTAAATTTTCATATGCACCTAGGAGCTTTTTTTATACACAAGCCAAGTTTATATATAGAAACCTGTTTCTAAAATAGGCATTTCACATCTGAGAGGCGGTATCAGTGGATGATGTTTCCAAGAGTCAGTGGAGTTTACAGGATCTGTATATCTTCTGATCTGTTTGGTGCCATTTTGGAGGCTATCGAACCAGTTATCCCTGTCCAGTTCTGGCCACACATAGGCCCATTCTACATCTAGCATTCACTCAATTGTTTTACCAAACCCACACTGGAACAGAAAAAGATGCAGCTCAAAACCACATTCGGATACCCCAGGCCAATGCAGAGTCACCTCTGAATGGCCAGAAAATGGCCATACATCTATGCAGACAGTACCATAAAACCAAGAGATCAAACGAAGTGAAAGCAGCATGCAGTCTGGACACTCCCATAAAATCCAACAATCAAAGTGAAAAGTGGCATGCGATGTAAAGGGGAATTTCTGTTCCAATATGGGTTTGGTAAAACAGCGGAGCAAATGCTAGATGCAGAATGTTAAGCATGATTAGTGTAAGAATGTAGAAGAAAGTGCACATTTGCATAAAGATCAGTTGCTGACATCTTCCAACCTACTTCACCTGCTGGATGTATGCATATTCCTATCCACCATTTAGTTTGTTTATTTATTCACAAAATTTATAGCCCAACTTTCTGCCCTCACATGAAAACATAAATAACGAAAACACACTTTTAGTTGTCACATGTAACTATTTGTTACAAGAACTGAGTTGAAGTGTATCAGGTTTCTTACTAGCTCTCAACTCAAAACAATTCAACTCAAACAGCATTATCAGTGACTTACAACCTCTACTGGATAACGACACTTCTCTTTCACAAGTACTGGGGGGGCAAACCTTTTCCTGCCCACAGACAGCCCCCCCCAATCTTAAACAACTCCTCACCTACAATAATATAGCATCTAATCTGAACATGGACACTGGTACCAGAGCTTGCAATAAACCCAGATGCCAACTTTGCTGCCACATACACTCAGACAACACAATCACTAGACCTAACAACATCAACTACCCCATCTCGAGCTCATTCACTTGCTCATCTTCTAACATTGCATATGCTGTTAAATGACACAAATCTGATGTCAAGAGTCACAAAATTGAGAAACCTGTAGGAGAACATTTCAGCCTCCCAGGACACTCAGTGGGGGACTTGAAAGTAGCTATTTTATGGCAAAAGAATTTCAGAAACAGACTAACAAGAGATTGCTGAATTTCAAGTTATTATAACACTCAGGACAATGGAGCCCCCTGGGCTTAACAGAGATATCAGGTTCTTATCTCACTACACAGGCAAAATCAGACTCAGTTCTCAAATCTGTTTGTTAACGCTTTTGTTCTAACTTGCTGCTATTAACGACTGCTGTAATCCAATCTTAGCTATACTATAGCTATACTTAGGTATACTTATCACTCAGTTACTTATGCATCTTGACTCTAATTAGCCCTTCCTGGCAACTAACCCCCCCACCGCCATCTATATGTAATGTTTGGTGAAGGCTGTTTCAATGTATCTGAAGAAGTGTGCATGCACACAAAAGCTTGCACTCAGGATTACTTTGTTGGTCTTAAAAGTGCCACTGGACTCAAACATTGTTCTGCAGCTTTCTGCAGAGGCTGTATCAGAGTTGAGCCTGGATACAAGTAAAGATGTATGTATCCACCATTTTATCACCAATAAAGTTACTATTTAAATATTAACCTAATGCTTTTGATGGTGTAGTGGTTACGAGTGGTGGACTATAATCTGGAGAACCGGGTTTGATTCTCCAGTCTTCCAAATGAAGCCTGCTGGGTGGCCTTGGGCCAGTCACAGTTTCTCTCAAAACCGTCTCAGCCCTACCTACCTCACAAGCAATGTTCCCTCTAAGCTGTGGAGTCTTGTGAGCAAAAATTCTACTTTGTGAGCTACTGGCATTAAAGTTGTGAGCGAGCAATTTGGCTGCTGCATAAATTCGTTTGCTCTGGAGCTGTCCTTCCTGAGTGAAGACAAAAATCAGTGAGCTGGAGACTAAAAAACTGTGAGCTAGCTCACACTAACTCAGCTTAGAGGGAACACTGCTCACAAGGTGCCTGATGTGGGGAGAGGAAGGGCAGGTGATTGTAAACTGCTTTGAGACTCCTTAGGGTAGAGAAAAGAAGGATATAGAAATACAACTCCTCTTCTTCAAATGTAATAGAAAAGACTATACCAGCTCAGATTCAAAGACAAGGAAGATTTTGAAAACATCTCCCATTGTAAAAAGAGAAAAAGAAAAGGAACGTTTCCTGTAAACAGAAAAATACAGGGGGAGGACTGCTTTGATCTGTCTCCTTGGTGTGCTACATTTTCTACATAAAAAGCTTTTACTGCAGGGGAGAAATGACAAGTTATATTCTTCCTGCTAAAGTCTGAAGTGTTCTAGTCATGGCTTCTACTTCAGCTCTACTTCCTCTTGCTGCTGCAGAATGTGTAAACCAGACCTGTCATCTGAAAACATTTTTTTTCAGTGGCATAAAATAAGACGTTCCACAGAAATTTGGCTTGATGAAAAATTACCATGCCCTGACCTGGATAGCCCAGGCAAGCCTGATCTCGTCAGATCTCAAAAGCTAAGCAGGGCCGACCCTGGCAAGTTATTGGAAGGGGGACCTCCAAGGAATACCAGGGCTCAGAAGGCAGCGGCAGGCTATCAAGCCACCTCTCTGAAGCGTCCAAACCCCACTAGGGGTTGCCAGAAGTCGCCATGACTTCCAGGCATACAAGCACATACACTCTCATGCACAAAATACTCCCACAAAAAGCTTACTGTCATAATAAGTCTGTATTCTTCTTTTTCAGGAAACATCTTTGTCGTCAGTCTAGCCGTTGCTGACCTGATTGTGGCCGTCTACCCGTACCCTCTGGTCCTGACATCTGTTTTTCGTAATGGATGGAATTTGGGATATGTCCACTGCCAAATCAGTGGCTTTCTCATGGGCCTAAGTGTTATCGGATCCATATTCAACATTACCGGAATTGCTATCAACCGATATTGCTACATCTGCCACAGCCTCAAGTATGACAAGTTGTACAGTGACAAAAACTCTTTATGCTGTGTCATTCTTATCTGGGTCTTGACCTTTGTTGCCATTGTGCCCAATCTCTTTGTGGGATCTCTTCAGTATGATGCCAGGATCTACTCGTGTACCTTCTCCCAGTCAGTCAGCTCTGCATACACAATAGCAGTTGTGTTTTTCCATTTCATGTTCCCAATAGCCATTGTAACATTTTGCTACCTGAGGATATGGATCCTTGTCATTCAGGTACGAAGGAGGGTTAAACCTGACAACAACCCCAAACTAAAGCCGCATGATTTCAGGAACTTTGTCACCATGTTTGTGGTCTTTGTGCTCTTTGCAGTCTGCTGGGCCCCTTTGAATTTTATAGGCCTTGCTGTGGCTGTCAACCCGGAAACAGTAATTCCCAGGATTCCAGAGTGGTTGTTTGTTTCGAGTTACTATATGGCGTACTTCAACAGCTGCCTTAATGCTATCATTTATGGACTCCTGAACCAGAATTTCAGACGAGAATACAAACGCATTATTCTGACAATTTGTACAGCGAAGTTTTCCTTCCAGGAGAGCTCTAATGATGCAGTAGAGAGGATCAAAAGCAAACCCTCACCACTGGTCACAAACAACAATTTGGTGAAGGTCGACTCTGTGTGAACAGAGAAACACTGTTGCCATCAATCTACAGACATTGTATTGTGCAATACATAAATGCAAAATCTGCTCATTTCATCACTGTAATGAAACACTCATCCCCTAATGTACAAATGCACTTAGATGAAGTTTTGTGTACAATATTTTGAGCCAAAGTAAGTATTTTCACATAAAGATCCTCCTATTGCGCACAATAAAATTTTGCAAACAGTGGGTATGATTCACCTAAAGTTAAGAATTTTAAAATCCTGTTGATGCAAATGAGAAAATTGTTTAAAATTTCCCACTGAAATAATGGAACAAGTGTTGTTCTTTGGCTGAAATATGCCCCATCATTCCTTGATACAACTCCAAACAGCATAGACTTACAGAACCAATAACTGCATATCTTTTGTTTTATTTATTTAACAACTAGAGATTAATTAGGACTAATCAACACACAGCTGTAGGGGACTGGGGGGGGGGCAATACCTCCTCAGAGATATGCCACGCCCCCTGTTTAAATCCCCGGCTTCCATTAAAAAAGCAAGTCTCTAGTCTAGGGTGCACCAATATGGAAGGCATACACATAAAAGTAACACTTGCCCGTGTGCCACTGGCAAATTGAAACTTTGTGAGGAAGGCCCCATCCACATCGGTGAAGAAAGGATCAGACTCAGGGGGGGCTGACGGCTAAGCAGGGGTCATTTTGTAGGAAAAGAGGTGCAGGAGCTCATTAGCATAACTCATTAGCATAGCTCCTTTGCATATGCCACACCCCCTGATGTCACCAGAAGTGTGTCAGAAGGCAACACCCACCACTCAGGCTCCAATGGACTGTTTCGGATCGCTAGCTACTGGGGGGGGGGGAATGTGCAGATCTGTCCTCGCAGAGGAGGGAGAGCTTGTACCTGAATAAAACTTGGTCTTAAAGGTGCCACTGGACTGTTTTGGACTGGGGGCCGGGGGGGGGGCTCTGTAGCTTACCTGGCTGCTTCTTGCTCTGACAGGGCTGCTGGGAGCAGGGGGTGTGGCTTGTTGCATGTGCCCACCCCCTGGGCTCTTTACTGCCGGAGCTCCGCTCCTGTGCGCTCCTGCAGGAAATGACCCCTGCAGCTAAGACAGGGCAAGGCTGTGACCCTGTCCCTGCTAAGGCAGAGTCCAAACCAGAACAGATATGAGAGGTTTTATCTACAAAGTGCCAAGCCAAGCAGCCACAGTGGGCCACCAAGCAGTCCACCTCTTCCTGGAGGCCAGACCCCAACAGACCTCTGACTACCCAGAACAGCTCCACTGGCCTACACTTTGCAGACACAATTGTGGTGGGAAAGTGTTGTTTCTTTACTGCCATCATTGCCACAGAATGTGCTTTAAAATGAGCTTTTGCCTGTGTCCCATCAAATTCATCGTATGTCTTCCTCCACTGTCACTCTGTCCTTTGTAGATAGATTCAGGTGGGTAGGCATGTTGGTTTGAAGCAACAGAACAAAGTTTGAGTCCAGTGACACCTTTAAGACCAACAATGTTTTATTCAAGGTATAAGCTTTCATGCATTTCTTCAGATACAATGAAACAGAAATTACCAGTCCATACATATTGATAGAGGGTAAGCAGTAAATTAACATACAGCATAATGAAGATGTTTAACAGAGTCAAGAACCAAACAGGAATAACAAGCTTATTGTATATGGTAACCATTTGTTTGAGTTTAATTTGGAATGGTAGATTGGAATGTATTTCTCTGGTCTGGGGACAGGGGAGATAAGACACTGAAGGATTGCCTCCAAGCTCAAGAAGAGATGGATGGTAAGTAATGGCAAGGTCTCAGTTAATTATTTTCAACATTCCTCAGTTAAGAATACATCTGCCCATCAATCTCCAATTTTGACATATTTGTTTCCTTCCCTATGTTTTCCCTTGGAATTAAGCCCAAACAAATGGTAACCATATAAACTAAGCTTGTGATTCCTGTTTGGTCCTTGAATCTATTAAACATCTCTGGGTTCCCTCAGCTCACACTGCTTTCCTCAGCACTGCCTTCTTCCTTCAAGTATGGTCAACAACGCACCATATTAGTTCTATCCATCTCTGTAAAGAATAGCATGACTTTTGTTACATTAAAATTGTACAGGCTAGCTTAAGATTTATCAAACAATATGATTTCAAATATCTCAAGATCTTGTACAAGGCCTTGTGCTGTCTTAACTACATGTTATAGTGACCAGAAACTGAACTGCTCAATATCTTGTGCAAGTGGAAAGACAGGAGATACAATAAGTTTGACTTAGCGCAAGCTAAGTAGCACAGTCTTTTTCTTGCATTTCCACTTGCGCAAATGCACTAGTGCAAGTGGAAATTTTGTGCTGGATCCAGTCCAATGCCTTTGGAAAAGTTAAATATTCATTGTATTCTATAGACCTTTTAAAGCTGCAGCACTCAATCAAAATACTTTTGAGGCATATGGTATACAATTTGATGTAGATCTTGAAGCAAACAAAACACATTCATACATACTAGAAACCCTCACTTACATTTGGGCAAACAAAGAAAGTATTTTTATCTCAAATGTGGTTTATGCTGTTTTTAGTTCATCTAAGTTTGTAACAGAATCCATTAATAGCAACAAACTTCAGATTCTTGAACAAGCCAGTCAGTGTGTTTCTCAAGGTACTTGACTTCATCTTTGTTTACACTCAAACCATTCTTGTCAATCAAACCACTGTGTAAATAACCCATGTTCTCCTATTGTGACATCATGTGATATGACTGACAAAACGAATTCTATATTACAGCTCTCTCCACTGTGATTCCATCCTTAAAGGATGCTTCATTGTGTACTGACATTACTTTATATGTGGTGATATCAGAATAGTAAGGGTGGTCAGACCATCTGATTTTAATCACACAAAAATACACTATTCAAATTCTTGCAAAATTTTTGCCTTACTGAGCATTATGCCTAATAATAAAGTAATGTCTTATGATGCATCTGAGAAAGTAGTGGAAATGTTTCAGTAGCCTGGTCATTCGTATTTTTAAACAAAGATTTTTTATTTCCCCTGTACAAACTAGGAACTCAATTTTAAAGTGTACATGCCTTGAAATATTTGCTCATACTGCTATATACCTTTCAGTAGGAGTCACTGAGGAGCAAATATCCCTTCTATTTATTAAATGATATTATTTTGAAAGTATCAATTGTTATATGTAATTTTAAAAAATCATGCATTATGCCAAAGGTCTATATTTTGGTTAAAAGGCCAGTAATTCAAATGGGTAGTGTTTTCAGATTTTAAAATATCTGTATTAAATATAAATTCACAGAAAATATGCATGCTGGTGATGTTAAGAAGCTGCTAAATATAGCAATAATTTTAAGGATCTGCTCCTTCTTAGTTCTTTGCATTTTTAAAGAAATTGCCTCCAAATTAATGCATGACCATGGCAATGGAACCTCTGGGAAATCATTCTTCTTGAATCACTTTAAATATTCTTCCTCTACCATTAAATTAAAATCAGAAGTACACTGTCATAGTCATTCCCTTATGGGAACTGCTTAGAACCTTACAGAGTCACAACCCGTGCCATCAGTACGTGACTCTTAGGAAGTCACTCCCTCCACAATTACATGAAAATATGAACTGTGCTGGTTGATCTAGCTAAACTGGACAGTGCATGAACCAGAGCATATAAGTTCAAAGTCATCTTGTATGAATGTTTACATTAGTATATTGTAGCCCTTTCCAGGTGGTATGATTTTGGCAGGCCAACTGTGCATAAGGAGAGATCTTGATACATGAGGCCACCAGTGTTCCCTCTAAGCGGAAATCTTGATACATGAGGCCACCATTTTGTCTGAACAGTGCAATGCATGTATTTCACAGTGCTGGTGCACCCAAACACATCCCACCACAAATCTAGCTTTCTGTTCATGTGTACTAAAGGTGGGAAATATGCCCTGTTCAGACAAAATGGTGCCAACGGGTATTATACATATTGAGATCTCTCCTTAGATGCAGTCGGCCCACTAAAACTGTAATGTCTGAAAAGGATTACTGTGCAAGCCGATAGTTTAGCTGTTGTGTAAATAGGAACTCAGTAACACAATAATTACTGGCAAGTCAAAGATGCAAATATGAGGAAAGACTGAATGGTCTGGGATTTTCAGTATAGAAAAGAGATGGTGGGAGGCATGATGCAGGTTTATAAAGTTCAAAGTCAAATACCTTTAATGGCATAGCAGTAAGATACATAGCAGTAAGATATCGGAGCTGCGGTGGCTCAAGTGGTTAAAACGCTGAACTGCAGGCTGTGGAAGGTCAGTAGTTCAGCGGTTCGAGACCCGGGTGCCGCATGATGGGGTGAGCTCCCATTTCTAGTTCCAGCTCCTGCCAACCTAGCAGTTCGAAAGCAAGAAATTGCAAGTAGATAAATAGGTACCACTTCGGTGGGAAGGTAACAGCGTTCCGTGCGCCTTGGTGTTTAGTCATGCTGGCCACATGACCACGGAAACGTCTTCGGACAGCGCTGGCTCTTCGGCTTTGTAACGGAGATGAGCACCGCAACCCTAGAGTCGGATTCGACTGGCTTTCGAGCAAGGGAACCTTTACCTTTAAGATACATAGATGTACCATAATATGGCATGAATATATAAAACATAATAAACAATATGAGTCAATCCTTGACTACAGTAGATCTAACTTTGACTACTTCAGCAAGAAACCTGGCCACTATAGCTGTAATATTAGGATTAGCATCCTTTAGTAGATATTGAATAGCTTTTTCCCTATTAGAACTATAATTAGGAGGAAATAAAGATGACAACAATTCTTTGCGTAAGACTGAGTGAAATTGGCAGTCAAAAATAATATGATATATTGAGTCCACGGATTTTAAAGGACAAGAACATAACCTTTCATGAGGGGGAATTTTATTAAACTGACCTGAGAGCTCTTTCGAAGGGAACACATTTAGTTGGGCTAGTGTAAAGGCTCTACGGTGCAAAGGCTGGACTAAGTTGTGAAGATAGTGGGCCATCTGGCCATATTGTATTGGGAGATTCAACTGAGCCTGAGAAAATATGCAAAATTGTGCAGGACGTAAGATTTGGAGTTCAAGGTCAAGCAGTCTCCGTTTAATAATCTGGAAAATAGAGACTTCATCCAGTGAATAGAAATACTCTAAGGAAAAGCCAATTTGACTAATTTTCTTCTCAATATATGCCAACCAGGATGTGCTATAAGCATCATTTTTTAAATGTGAGATTAAAGAATTTGGTGACGATCTGAAATGTATTTTCTACAAAAATTTAAAAGTTAATAACCAACATTTAGTATTTATAAAATGTTGGCCCAGTTCTAAACAAAGAGAGGAGTATGGAACGCAGTTAGAAATGCCTAGAAGTTGGCGAAAAAGACAGTCCTGTAGTCTTTCAAGGTTGTTATGAAAGCTCGCTATCCAAACGGGGATTCCATATAATAGTTGGGGGAGAATTTTAATTTCAAAGATCTTTATGGCACCTGGTAAATATTGATTCCCTCTGGAATAAAAGAATTGTTTAAGATGTTAAACAGATCGTTTAATTAAAGAGATATTATAGGATCTATGGGTTGACCAATTAAGGTTATATTGAAAAGTAATCCCTAGGTATTTGAAATTTTTAACCTGGGCAATCTCAGTTTTCCCTACTGTCCACTTCATAGGCTTCCAACGATTAGAAAAGACCAGCATTTTGGACTTTGAATAATTAATGACCAAAGAGTTATCAGCACAGAATTTATGAAAAGTGTGCAAATGTCTGAGAAGACCGACCCTGGTACAAGATTAAAATTAAAAGTCCTGTCCTGGCTTCAATTCAACAAACAGTCCGAAATGATATCTTGCCAAGGACTAGTCAGATAACAGTCACGTAGTTGAGTAAAATTGTACATATTTAAAACTTGCGGAGCATCTCTGTCTGCTGCAGGTGTTGCCAGTTTTTGGTCCCTCCCCGTCTTGTCATAGTATCCAATGATTAGTTTATAAAGTTATTAATGGGATAGACAGAGAGAACATTTTCCCCTTCCCCAAAATACTAGAACTCAGAGGTACCAGAGAAGTTGACAGCTAGTAGATGCATGACAGATAAAAGGAAATTCTTTTTTACACAGTGGTTAAAATGTTGAATTCACTGCCAGAGTATGTAGTGATGGCTGCAGGCATAGATAGCTTTAAAAGAGAATTAGATAGATTCATGGAGGACAGGTCTGTCATTGACTACTAGCCATGGTGATTAAAGAGAACCACCACATTCAGAGGCAGTAAGCTTCTGGATACCAATGCCAGGAGGCAGCATTAGGCAAGGTCTTAGCCTTTATTCCCTGTTGTTGGCCCTCCTAAGTAACAGGTTGATCACAGTGCAAGAAAGAATGCTGGACTAGATGGACCACTGCTCTGACCCAGCAGGGTTTTTCTTATGTTCTTAAATTTGTTTAAAAACAACAAGAACAGCAGCATGAACCAAGATTATTCATTGTTAAAAGATGTGTTTCAGACGGTCATAAGAATGCAAAGTAACTTATAATTTCAAACTATCCAACTGCACAGCATCCATTAATCACTTCTTGGTTGACTACAATCAGCATTTGCAAACACTTTATTAAAGGCCAAGTAGTGTAAGGAACTAATTTGTCAGACAAATGAGTAACCTGCTGTGCAAATTACCCTGAATTATGAAGAAAATAAGGGCTAAATAGAATATCCATAAAAATGAATATGGTAAATTGCAAAGCTATTGCTGCAATTCAAAGCATCATTGGCTATAACAACAGATTCATGGACTAAATGTGATTTGATCAAAAGATATATGGGTAGTCATGCATACTACACTATCTGCGCAGAATTGAAATGACAAGGGCTGACTTGATTATTTGCTTGCAGAACAGAGTTGTTCCACCTGGAAGAAACTGCTATAAGAAAAAAGCTATGAAATATGCTAGCAAGGTCATGCTATAAGAAAAAAGCTATGAAATATGCTAGCAAGGTCATGCTAAAGATCCTACAAGCTTGGCTTCAGCAGTACGTGAACAGAGAACTGCCAGAAGTACAAGCTGAATTTCGAAGAGGTACATAAGAACATAAGAGAAGCCAATGTTGGATCAGGCCAATGGCCCATCTAGTCCAACACTCTGTCACACAGTGGCCAAAAATACCAGGTGCCATCAGGAGGTCCAGCAGTGGGGCCAGGACACTAGAAGCCCTCCCACTGTAGCCCTCCCCAAGCACCAAGATACAGTGCATCACTTGCCCCAGCCTGTGAGTTCCTATCTATACTTTGTGGCTAATAGTCACTGATGGACCTCTGCTCCATATGTTTATCCAGTTCCCTCTTGAAGCTGTCCATGCTTGTAGCCGTCACCACCTCCTGTGGCAGTGAATTCCATGTGTTAATCACTCTTTGGGTAAAGAAATACTTCCTTTTATCTGTTCTAACCTGACCGCTCAGCAATTTCATGGAGTGTCCACGAGTTCTTGTATTGTGAGAAAGTGAGAAAAGTACCTCTTTCTCGACCTGCTCTATCTTATGCATAATCTTATGAACCTCGATCATGTCACCCCTCAGCCATTGTTTCTCCAAGCGCTGTAACCTTTCTTCATAGGGAAAG